TTTGGTTAATTTAATTTTAAAATTTCTACTATATCATTAATTATAAATGTTGAAAAAGAAACACCTTTAAATATAATGTGTGTGTGTGTGTGTGTGTGTGTGTGTGTGTGTGTGTGTGTGTAACTTTTAATTTGTGCCAGTGTACTTACAGTAAAAAAATAACAATGAAAGTTATCTTATCCTATCTTCCTTGTTTCCTTCCCAACCCCATTCCTCACCACACCCTATTTTGTGTTGGCTTCCCAGCCAAGTACTTACCAGGTCTGATCCTGTTTAGTTCTCTAAAATCAGCCTACTGAAATAAATACCAAACTAAACTGCCAAATAATTTACCTACCATCACTATCTTGCACCCGATTTCAATGTAAACAGCCAATCTGCAGTATAACTAAATTTTGCTAGACATCTGCTGCATGTTATTGTCTCTTCCTTGATAATCTGGTCTTAGCTGGGCAAAACATATTAGACATTTGGAATCACTGGTGAGAGCAGCTCAGCACGGAGAAAATGTGCATGTCTCCCCATGTTCCTCTCTCCGCGAGCAGCCTCATCCCCTCCTCCTCATTTGTGAAGCATGCTAAGTTTAAAGGTACTGCGAGAGTCTGCTTGTGGAGAGAGGAATATGGGGACATGTACAACTTTTTTCCATGCCAAGAGGGCATCTCTGTCTCTCGCCTCCACTCTTGGTGCAGAAAAAAGTCAGCAGGAGCAGCAGTTGAGGTGGTCGGTCACCCATCCCAGGGCTCACGCTCACCATACCTCAGGGGATGGGGGATGCAGCATCAGTGAGGCAGCAATGGTGATGGCGGCAAGGAAGGCAACAGCAGTTCTGGTGGCATCAGGACTTCTGGGACTGGCTCCCCCACCACCAGCTGTCAGCTCTTCCAGTGACCACACATGGTGCATTGGGGCTCCCAGGCTCTGCTCCCCACAGCCGCCGTCAGCTGTCCCAGACTCGATCAACGGGTGCCTTGCTGACATGAGCCTCTCCACATGTGCTCCTGCTGCTCTTGCTGGAAGACAGGGTCTTTCATGGCCCAGCGAAAAGCCTGCAAGTCCCTCTCCCATCAGGAAATGGCTCCGGTTGGCAGAGAAGCAGCCAGGTTGAATCCAGTTTCTCTCTGCCGCCTGGAGCCATTTCCCGACGGGAGGGGGACTTGCAAGCTTTTTGCTGTTTCAGGAAAGACTCTCTCATCTCCCAACTAAAGCAGCAGGGGAGAGAAGCAGCTGATGACTTGGCCTGAGCCAATACAAGCCTCACCATGTGTTCTTTTGCTGCTCTTGCTGGGAAAATGACAGACTTTCTTGGCCCAGCAAAAAGCCTGCAAGTCCCCCTCCCATCGGGAAATGGCTCCAGGCAGCAGAGAGAAACAGGATTCAACTTGGCTGCTTCTCTGCCACCCGGAACCATTTCCTGATGGGAGGGAGATTTGCAGGCTAAATTTCTCTGTGCCAGGAAAAACTCTGCCAGCTAGAACAGCAGGGGACAGAGGCAGCTGCTGACCTGGCTGGAGATGACACACAGCTGCTCCATGTGTTCTCCAGCTAAGGCAAGTAGTGGTGATGGTGGGGAAAGGCGACTGGTGTTGGCAGCAAAAGTCAAGTGGGGGGGAAGAGGCAAAAGGCAGGGGTGGGGGAAGGCAACCTGTGGTGGCAGATAGGTGACCCGGGCTTGCAGAGTCTCACTCAACCAGGGATATCAGATCAAGCAGGGCCACAGCAGAAGGCAGGTAGTAATGGCTGGCCTGGCAGGTGGGCAAAAGCAGGCTGCAGGCAGTGATGTCATGCATGCGTGATAAGGACTGATTGGGCAGGGAGGGGGGTGGAGAGGGGCAGGGCCAGCCAGTGGCGTGATTTGCCGATTCTCTGAACTGCACAGAATCATAACGACTGGTTCTATAGAACCGGTCCAAACCAGTAGAATCCCACCCCTGGGTGTATATCTTTACAATACGTTGGGATTTTTCTGCAAGTCCACCACATATAGAATGTAGAATGTTTCTTTTATCTCAGGCAAATGGTATTTTGGAGTAAATTTTATAGATATGTTCCACAGTTCTTCTCATAAGTATGTTGGCATTGTTTCTTTAGAGTTTTCATCCAATTTATCATACATGCTTTTTTTGTTCTCTCTTTATATCATATCTAAGCAAATGTCTGTGTGTGTGTGTGTGTGTGTGTGTGTGTGTGTGTGTATTCGTAGATTTTCACGGGTACAGGTATGCAGGTCTTGGCGTGTTCAGGTGTTTTCCCATGTAAGATTGAGATCTTGGAGATGTTTTGACGAGGTCCCACTCTCCATCTTCAGGCTGGTGCTTTCAGCTTCGTGCTTGTGCGAGCAAAGCGTGATCAGAGCTGCCATCTCTCTATAAATACTGGTGGGTAGGTTGGCTATGTTGTTATTTCCATCAAGAAATAACAACACAGCCAACCTCTCCACTGGTATTTATAGAGAGACGGCAGCTCCGATCACGCTTTGCTCACACAAGCATGAAGCCGAAAGCACCAGCCTGAAGATGGCGAGTGGGACCTCGTCGAAAGGTCGCCAAGATACTCTCAATCTTACACAGGAAAAGACCCGAACATGCCAAGACCATACATACATACATACATACATACACACACACACACACACATATATATATCCTAATTGACAAAAATTCTGCTGTTTTTCTTAATGTTTCTCCCTCCATATACATTAAAGCAGTTCAAACTCTAATTTTAGTGATATCACGGGTAGCCAGAAGTATGTCCTTCCTTTGTTTGGAACTAGAATGATGCAAAGCAAAGACCCGAATGTGGATTTGTTTATATAAACTACTGGCTTGAATTAAGACATCTTATTGGAACCAATCAAATAAGATGAAATCTTATTAAATTAAGCCAATAGTTTGTCTAAACAGATAAACAGATAATCAGACTTGGAAGGGACCTTGTAGGTCATCTAGTCCAATCCCCCAGCCAAACAGGAGACCCTACACCATTTCTGACAAATGGCAGTCCAATCTCTTCTTGAAAGTCTCAAGTGATGGAACTCCTACAACTTCCGAGGGCAAGGTTGATTGTTCTCACTGTCAGAAGGTTTCTAGTTATTTCCAGGTTAAATCTTTCCTTGTTCAGTTTCCATCCTTTATTCCTTGTCTGGCCTACAGGTGCTTTAGAAAACAGGTTGACCCCTTCTTCTAAGTGGCAGCCCCTCAAATATTGGAAGACCACTATCATGTCTTCCCTGGTCCTTCTCTTGACTAGACTAGCCAAGCCCAGTTCCTGCAACTGTTCATCATATGTTTTAGTCTCCAGTCCCTTAATCATCATGGTTGCTCTTCTCTGCACTCTTTCTAGAGTATCAACATCTTATTTTATAATGTGGTGACCAAAACTGGATGCAGTATTCTAGGTGTGGTCTTACTAAGGCTTTATAGGGTGGTATTAGTACTTCCCTTGTTCTTGATTGTATTTCTCGGTTAATACAACTTAGGATTGCATTAGCTTTTTTGGCTGCTGCTGCACACTGCTGTCTCATATTTAGCTGGTTGTCTACTAAGACTCCAAGATTCCTCTCACAGTTACTGCTATTGAGCCTGGTTTCACCCAGTCTATATGTGTACTTTTGGTTTTTCTTGCCCAAGTGTAGGACTTTACTTTTCTCTACATTGAATTTCATTTTGTTAGATACAGCCCAGTGTCCTAGTCTGTCAAGATCCATCTGGATCTTGAGCCTATCTTCTTGGGTGTTAGCTATTCATGCCAGCTTAGTATCATCTGCAAATTTGGTAAGTTCCCTTTCTATTCCCTCATCTAAGTCGTTAATGAAGATATTGAAGAGTACTGGTCCTAAGACGGAACCTTGTGGCACCCCACTGCTTACTTTCCTCCATGTAGACTTAGACCCATTAAGGACTACTCATTGAGTACACTTTGCCAGCCAGTTGCAAGTCCATCTAGTGGTGGTGCTATCTATTCCACTTTTTTCTAGCTTACTAAGAAGTAGGTTGTGGTCTACTTTGTCGAATGTCTTGCTGAAATCTAAATATATTATGTCCACAGTATTTTGCTGCTCTACTAATTTAGTCATTGTGTTGAAGAATGAAATAAGATTGGTTTGGCATGATCTGTTCTTAACAAACCCGTGCTGACTGCTAGTTATTCTTTACTTGTTTCTAGATGTTGGCAGATCTGTTTTTTTAATTAATTTTCCCAGTATCCTCCCGGGTATTGATGTTAGGCTGATTGGTCTAGAGTTTCCTGGGTCTGTTTTTTTTTCCTTTTTTGAAGATGGGAACCACATCAGCTCTTTTCCAGTCCTCTGGTAGTTCCCCGGTGCTCCAGGATTTTTGAAATATATGGTGCAGTGGTTCTAAGATGACCTCTGCCAGCTCCTTTAAAACCCTGGGGTGTCTGATAGCCAATATTTTGCCTGATATAGACAAATTTGACTCTTCATAAAAACAAGCCTTAAATGAAAAATTGAGGTTCACTGATTCTAATAGTGATCCATTGTTTTCACATAATATTAAGATTTTAAAGAAAAAAAACATAATCAAATGGTGCCTGATCTGTATAGGTAAGTAAAGTACTCCAACTCAGGTTACTGAATCAGATACTTAAAATGATAAGTTATTTGCTAATTCTCTTAAATACTGTACACTTCAGAGCTAGCAAGATTTGATGCTCACTCATCACCTATTTTACAAAGAAGGTATGACAAAATACTACAGATTCGGTATGGGTACCATTTTTACAATACTCTGACTAAATATAATAATTTGGCAAAAGTTTCCAAAATGTTCAGACCCTTCTGCTTAAACATGCCTCAAAAGATATAATATACCAATGAGTTATTATATAAATCAGGCATGAAGGCAATAATTTGTTCCTCTTCTTGAATTAATCATAGTATATTTAATTAACTGGTTACTGTCCATAAAGTATTCTTCTTCCTAGTATATGAATACTGCTTTAGAATTGTAAAAACAAGAGTTATCAAAGCAGTAGCTCACCTATCAGTCCTGGAACATGTTTGCCTTTGAAACTAAAGCAGGCAGTGACATTTAGACAATTCACTTCTTGTAAACCATCATGACACTGAGGAGCTGTGATGTCAATGGATGCTGGCAGGAAAATTGAAATATCCAAGGTAATGACAGGCCGTGATCTTAAAACAATAAGAAAAAAACACACACATTATTTTCCATACTATTATAAATCTTTTTAATATTAGTGGAAAGTAGTTCCTATCTAATTAACTTAAGAGAACTCTTAAACTTGCTTAGGATATCAGCTTTAATATTAGTACTGGAAATAATCAATTATTCCCCAAATATTTCAACCCCAAAACAAATACTTTTCCTATAATAATTAGAAAAGGAGGAGGGGGAGGGAAGGGGAGGACAGGACAGTGATACACCAGTACCATTAAGATGCATTACTGGAATAAAACAATTCAAATAATGCAATATCCTTTTCTTTTCTTTTTTAAACAAGTTTTATTCAATTTTTCCAAAACAACATAAAAAAGAGCTCTTTTTAGTATACAACATAATTCCGAGTCACCACTTTTACATGTGAATATGACAGTAATTATATATTCATTTTTACATTCAACATCCTGTCTTGTTCATTTTTAACTTAATTCTATTATTACTTCTTCATTTCAACTTTTACATAAGAAAAGGAACAAACACATTAATTCTGTTAAGTGATATTACTTTCATTCTAAACATCTTCTCAGTTCATTTCCATTTATTTCAAATGTATTTCTTAAGCATTAACATTTCTTTTAAGTGTAGCCTTTTCCAAAGTACTCTTTTCTCATTTAAATCACCAATAGTTCCCATATCTTCATACTTATTCCCTTTTAATTCTTTTATCTTGTCAAATTTGCAACTGAATGTGTGAACCCCAAAGATAAAATTGACCTGGAAAACCAAGGAATATATGAAGTCTCCTGTGCATCATGCCCTGCCACTTACATTGGACAGACCAATAGAAGAATAAGTACCCGCCTAGGTGAACACAAAAATGCAGTAAAAAAGCTGGAACGCACTTCCTCACTAGTCCAACACATGAAAGCCACCGGTCATAGCATCAACTTCAATGGCACCAAAACCCTAGCCACTATAGAAAACCCCAGCTACAGAATTATCAGGGAAGCCATAGAGATTGAAAAAAGACCTGAAAGCATGAGATGACTCCACCAGACTGTCCATTATCTGGAAGCCTGCACTCTCGAACAAAAAAATCTCCACACCACAAGCCAGGCAAATACCTGGGCACAAACAGACTCCTCCTGATACCTCCAGCTCAAACACACCCCAACCAGGCACCCAGATGAAACCTAGCTTCCTAATAAATGATAGCCGTCCGTTTACTTGGAGCCAAGCTGCACTAAAAGCCTCCAATACAGGAAACACAATGTTGCCAGCCAATCAAGACAAAAAAAGCTACAAAACAGAGAGAAGATATTTAGAAACACCAATCAAGCAGAACACAGCAAACTCCAAGACCAATAAACACAGACCAAGACTCCCAACCAATCAGGATGAAGAAAAAACCATTCTGGCACAGCGTAGGCTAGCACCAAATTTAAAACTGAAACCACTGTAAAAGTCTGACTCACAGACGAACATAATACAGAAACCTGATGATGGCAGATGAGATTCTGCCGAAACGTTGCTACAACTTTAAAAGCACAACTTTTAGGACGTGGGAAAATACCCGAACAAAGCTGAATACCATATGTGTGTGTGTCTGTGTGTCTGTGTGTGTGTCTGTGAGTGTGTCTGTGATTTGTATCTATCTATCTATCTATCTATCTATCTATCTATCTATCTATCTATCTATCTATCATCTATCTATCTATCTCCCTTCCCCCTTTTACTTTTCTGCTGTTTCTTTCAAAAACAATAGGACAGGGGCAGTAGGCACGATTGGTGCACTTATGCACGCCCCCTACAGGCCTCTTAGGAAGGGGGTGAGGTCAATAGTAGACAGTCTAAGGTTAAAGTTTTTGGGGTTTGGGGAAGAAACCACAGAGTCAGGTAGAGTATTCCAAACATTGACCGCTCTGTTGCTGAAGTCGTATTTTCTGCAGTCAAGTTCGGTTCGGTTAACCTTGAGTTTGTATCTATTGTGTGCTCTTGTATTGTTATGACTGAAGCTGAAGTATTCATTTGCAGGTAGGACATTGCAATGTATGATTTTATATACTATATTTAGATTGGACCGGAGGCGGTGTAGTTCTAGGTTTTCTAGGTCTAGAGTTTCAAGTCTGGTGGCATAAGGTATTCTGCAATGAGCAGAGGAGTGTAGAGGAGTGTAGAACTCTTCTTGTGAAATATTTCTGGACTTTTTCAATTGTGTTAATATCAAATACATGATATGGGTTCCAGACTGATGAGCTGTACTCAAGTATAATGTCTAGCAAATGTTTTGTATGCTCTAGTTAGTAGTGTGATATTACCAGAGAAGAAGCTACATAGGATTAGATTAACAACTCTTAATGCCTTTTTGGCTATGTAGTTACAATGGGCTCTAGCACTTAGATCATTTGAGATGAGTACTTTAAGGTCCTTGACAAAGTTTGGATCTTCAACAAGGTCTCGACTATTTAGCTTGTATTTTATTTTCTGATTTTATCTGCCAATATGTAAGACAGAGCATTTATTTGTTGAGATTTGAAGTTGCCATTTGATTGACCATTCTGATACATAATCAAGGTCTTTAGGGAGGGTAGTAGTATTGTCTGTGTTGTTGAATAGCTTTACATCATCAGCGAAGAGAACTCAGTTGCTCTTAATATGATCACAGAGGTCAATTATGTAGAGTATGAAGAGAGTTGATCCTAAAACACTGCATTGGGGGACACCACTGTTGACAGGTACAGAATATGCCTCCAGCTATGCTGCCCCTGCAGATGAAGACAATGTGAGGAAGGGGTGGGGCTGCTGCTGCTTACTACGTCCCATCTCTTTTGACTTGCGGTAACAGGTCACTGCTAGTCATCTCCTTGGCCTCCTCGCAAGTCTTGGCCCACATATGGAACACATTCCCCTCATGCACCTGACACACCTTGGTACCACCAAGGCTGCCTGCAGCTCCATTAGGCTGCTGCTATCGCCACCCAGAACCCAGCCCAAAGGTCCACCCAGCCTGAAGAAGGTGAAGTGTCCAGCTAGAAAGTCCAAGTAGAGGTGGTAAAGCATGCCCATTCCCAGCTGGCAAAAGGTAGTCATCATGAGCAGGAAAAGCTCAATCCCCATTGGTGCTATGGTTGTCTGAGCCCAGCCAGGATCACATGCTTCCCCCCAATCTCTGCTGGCCTGGGCAGGCAAGGTTGCAATGGGAATCTGGCTTTCTCTACTCACAGTTTTTTTGTCTGCTGGGCCTGGGTGTGCTTTACCACTATTACTTGCCCTTTCTAGCTGGCGGGTATGCCGAGAGGTGGTGGAGTTACCACACAGGAGCTGCCAGGGATAGAGAACCTGATGACACGTATCCTTCACCAGGGCTGCTTGGCAGGGAGAGCCGAGTCCCATCCTGCCCAGTGAAGCAGCAGGTTCTGACCATTGAACCATGAACCATTCACTGTTTTTACAAGGTTTCAGATACACTGAATATAATCTACACTTAAACAACACCAAAGAAAACTATGTAATTCAGCAATTTCCAAAAAGATTAGTTAGCTTGTTTTGAAAAAACAGAAAGATCTAGTGTATTTTCCATAAACCGATATAGAAAATATATATTAATAGCCAATTCATAGTGCAATAACCATCTTGTATAGTATTTTTCAGTTTCAAATCATGATTACCTATTTCCTCTACTCTTAATTATAATGAAAGCTTAACATTTAAACAAACTACACTTTAAGAATCATTGCTAAAGACTAGCAATGACTAAAGATTACTAAGGGTGTCCATCAGGAGAAGAGTACAAAAAACTTTCCAATGCATTGGATCTACCATGAAATACAGTGAAGACAGTCATCAAGTGGAGAAAGTTTTAAAAAAATGAAACTTAAAAGATACATGGAGAGAAAGAAATGCTAAAACTAAATAATACACCTTCTAATTCAAATAAACACTTATCATAGTCCAGAATAGATATGATATGGATGTCAACAGAATTAATAACTAATATTTAAGAAATAAATATTGAAACAAGTACTTGGGCAGATCACAATCCAATGACAATCAAATGGAAAGGACAAAAAAGAAGATCTAGATGGACGTTAAATAATAATATTTTAAAGGAAAAAGACTTCACACAGTGGATGGAGAAAGAATTGGCTTTTTTCTTTAGAGAAAACAAAAAAGAAGATACATCAATTCAGAATGTATAGGATACAATGAAGGCATATGTTAGAGGCTTGATAATAGACTATACAAGGAAAAGAAATACTATGAAAAGATTACCCTCTAAGGCCTTAGAGGATGAGTATAAAAGACTTGAAAAAGAGTTACAGAAAATGCCACAGAAAAAGGACATCAAGCTAAAAATGGATATAGTTAAACATAAAATGGGTAAAATTGAAAAAGAAGAATTAGCACAGAAAATTAGAAGTGCTAAACAGAACTACTTTGAAGACGCAAACAAACCAGGTAGATGGTTAGCATACAAATTGAGAAAGGAGAAAGAATCAAGGAAAATATTGCAATTAACAGATGACCAAGGCCAAGTTTGCTATGGAAGTAAAGAGAAGAAGGAAATCATTCGAGACTTCTATGGGAAACTATATATGCAAGAGAATATTGATGAGGAAAGAGTTAAACAGTACTTACAGAATGCTAATTTACCTCAGATACCTAAAGAGATTGAAACAATGTTAGAAAGCAATATAACGATGATGGAGTTAACTGAAGCACTCAAGAAGCAAAATAATGGAAAGGCACCAGGCCCGGATGGACTTCCGGCAGAATTTTACAAAATATTACAAGAATCGTTCAATCTTCCATTGCTAGAAGTTATGAATGAAGTTATGTTAAAGAAGAAGATACCTAAATCATGGTCAGAAGCCTATATTACACTTATTCCGAAAGAGGAGGCCAATCCATTACAAATTAAGAACTATAGACCTATTTCTCTACTAAATGCAGATTATAAAATCTTTGCTTCAATATTGGCAGAAAGACTTAAAAAATATCTAAATAATTT